CCCCCTATTTGGCATTTCTTACTCAGCGTCAAGTTATGTCATCGCACTGCGCAGTATCGCCTCTTGGTTGACCTGTGTTTACGTTCTGTTGAAATATGGAAATTTGCTCGAGAGTTTCTCATGGATTGGAGCATTTCGGCATCGTAAACATTTCATATGCACAGCAAAAACACAGCTTTAATATTACTCCCGCTTCTTCCCACAACCGCGTCTTTTTCAACGCTCGCCTTTTCACACTATTTGGCGTTTAGACTTTAGTAAACTTTATCATCCCTCGTCAAATACGGGTGCATTGACAAGACCTTTCTAAGTTCTATACAATTGATTGCCCTCTGTGTGCATTTACTTCCTTGGTGACCTTATATCCAGAATAGTCCAGTCCTGATACCATGACGTCAGTCTGTACCTCTTATGCAGTCAAATCAGACCAGTGGAGGGAAATTACTTGAAACGAGCAGATGTAGACTCTTTGTCTCAAATATGCATTAACGTCATCAAGGAATGTCTCTCGATAGAGTGCGAATAACTTTATACAATCTGATCCAGACAAGATGGAGACTAACACATGTTGTTCCATGGGGACTTCATCCTATGAATAGTCCATAAAATCAGGAGCCGGGTGACTCGGTCATTATTCAGACGAAGATCCAAATTGAAATAGACGTTGCATTGAGACTTCAAGCCCCATGTGCAGCCTCCAAGAGACGAACAGTTTATTCGGGAGCAGGAAGATTTTCTGAAGCAACCACACGTCTGATAAAGAGGCGACTAAGCAGCCCAGCTATGAACAACCATATGGAGAGTCGGATGTTATGTTGACAGAGACGGACTTGGTCCATCGTACAAAATCAATTAGAAAACACCTCGGCAGTGACCAGTTTGAATTTCGTTTAGCTGCCTTAATTGCACACAGCATTAACCAAAAGTCTTTGGCTTGGAGTATAGTTGCTGAAGTCCGGTCCAGGTACGGTCCGGGGGATCTCGGTCACGGAGTCACGCTCCACATAGCCCCTATTTTTTGCTAAAAAAGCACATGAACACTTACTTTTTCAAGGGCTATCACATGCTGTATTTACCTTTTAAAGTTGTTGTGTGGTTGGCTCGACCGAGATGCCCCGGACCGTACCTGGACCGGACTTCGGCAACTATAGCTTGGAGGCGGATGATGGTTCAGATTGCTAATTGTGCCAACCCACAGAGAGCTGCGTCCTTATCAGCAGGTGTAGGCTTGGGCCTCGTCGCTCTAATATAGTGGAAGGAAATGGGGATAACAGAAGTAATGTCGAAGATGAAGTAGGATTGGGCAAGTACTACAGTTGAAAATGTCTTATTGCATAATGTCGGGAGAGGGCTAAACCCAATGCATTATACAATTTATGCATTATAACAATACATTTTGGCTGAGGACCTGAGTTTTGGTCTGGCCAAAAGTCTATGCATTATGCCATTTATGCATTACAATGTGATGCAATAAGACATTTTCAACTGTAGTAGGTCGGAGACCCACCGTCCATCAGACTGGAACGCTTAGTCAGCAAGCATACTGATGAAGACAATTTAATTTTAGACAAAGAATCGCCACCTTTCTATCGTACTCCAACATACGACACTACCAAACTGAGGCCGAATTCCACATCGCTTCCCGAGCGATTGCAGCTCGCCTGTTAGGAGTCGTGATCAGAAAGCTTCCCTAATCCCAGACATCGGTCTGAAGTTCTGATCTGCCTCGTAAACAATGCACTAAAATAGGTCTTCAGAAGTGCTCTGCTCAACGTCAAGACATGAAATATACTTGCATCTAGTTTAGATGGAGCTGCTCAGAAACCTTTGGACTGTTGCCTCGTCTATGTCAATCTGCTCATCAAGACTACATGCCAGCTCACTAGGTTTAATGCTTCGCAATCCGGCGTTTGCTCTATCAAGTACCGGAGCCTTTATAATGAAGTTCTATCAGGAGTTCGTCTTCAGAAATGTCTAGCAGAAGCCCATTCCTAGTCACCTTCGCAAAGGATGACCCTTCAGACTCTAAGAACTGGTCGCATGGGAAGAAGTGCCTCGTAACCTTTCAAGTGTGCTTCCTTTCTTTCGTCGCGTGAGTATACTTCTCCGTCTCCTCACCTCGATTGACTATATTAATGAGCTTTCACAGTGTGTTTGGATCGTCCATATATGTGCCCCCTTTTCCATCCTTGGCCATCTGCTACATACTAAAATGTCGTTTGGGGAGTTAGGCAGCAGTTATGCTGCAGCTGATAGAAACGTACAAAGCCTCGGACGTCACCGTAAGCTTAGGTCTATCCGGATATGTCTTGGGATTCTCTTTTGGACCGATTGTCTGTGAGTCAAAGGCAAGGGTCGAGTGGACTTCATACTGATGCGATATACAGGGGGTGATTACGTTGTTATCTGAAGTTCAAATGGTAGCTGAATGTGATTTAGGTCCTCTGAGCGAAATGTATGGAAGGCGACTTCCATACATTATTTCATGGCCCCTGCTCATAGGTTTTCATTTTATATCCATATTCGTAGTGATTTCTAACTTATACTCCGCATATAGTTACATGTGCACCTAGTGCATATATCGATAATCTTGCCACTATAATTATTTGTACGCAACTATTGCAGTATGCTTTGGTTCAGTCCTTCATCTCATCATCCACATACAGTCCGTTTCCTATCTGGATGCTGCGCTGGCTGTGCTCTTAATAAGTAAGTGTTCAGAGTTTATACCCGCGACTTTTTCTTCTGACAGTTTGTAGCGGTGGTGGACTTTTGACAGAGTAAGGTCTTATCACACGTTCCAAAGGATAGCCAGCTCAAAAATGATACTATAGCATGTATATGGCAGACAAACGAGCGCAAGGGATTGGTTAGTACCGCTAAAACAAGAAGTGCATTCCTGATTTAGACACCTTTTTCATTACAGCAATTGCATTATAGTACGCTGATGCTCCTCAGACACTCTCATCGTACTCATATAATACCAGTGCTGCATCCGTTTTCGCCGGTCCTTGCGTTGCATTACCAGTTGGGTTCTTCATTACTGTAAATTATGGCCCAGAGTAAGTATCGGTTACAGATTAACGGCTCATGCTAATGCAAGTCCTCCTATTTAGGCCGTGGGTTCTACGGGTATATTTGTTCTTTGTCGCATCAATGTTACCTGTTACCTTCCTTCTCCCGGAGACGCACGGTCCGACTATCCTTGCAGACCGTTCGGAGAGGATGAGGAGTAACGGCTTCATATATGCACGTGCAGCACACGAGCTTGAACAACAGTCGACTAAGGAGTTTCTGCGACTCCATATTGGACGTCCATTTTGTACGAAGCTGGTTATTTAAGTCAGGGATCTCCCTCACACATTTGAATGACTCATTATTAGCAATGTTTATGAGGGAGCCGATTATCCAAGCTGCCGCAGTGTGGACATCCCTTGCTTATGGGATAACCTAGTATGTGCTTAAGCTGCTTCAAAGTGATACGAACTGACGGTGCCGAACTATTTAGCCTATTTTTCGAATTATATCCGGTTGTTTTCATCAAACACGTGAAGCCAGCCGTTCTTTCATTTCCTTGAATAACTTTACTTACCTTTCCGAAGTACAACTTCCCACTCAAACTCGCTGGACTACCATTCCTTGCAATGGTAGTCGGCTTCATGGCGGCTATCGTGTTGAATCCGCCTCTTGTCCGGCTGTTCATTCATTTGCCCCTTCCTTCTGTCCTCCAGCCAGAATTTGTACGACCAGACTCACCCGAAGCGAAGCTGAAGTTGTCGTTACTTGCCTGGTAAGGAGACTCTGTTGGAAAGGTGTTTATATTTACTCTGAAATGAAACTGGCACCATATAGCGTCCTTATGCCAGGTTCTTTGTTCTGGTTTGCATGGTATGATTCACTTATGCCTTCACGTTATATTTGTAACTCAAGTGTGATTATAACTCAGGACTAGTGGCGGAGGGGTACATTGGATTGTGCCCACACTAGCCGGCATCCCTTTTGGGTTCGCAGCAATGACAATATTCTTTGTATTCTTAACATAGTGGGTATTCCCCTTATGTTTCCAAGAATGCTCTCATCTAAATTTCACAGTACCGCCGAGACTTATACAATATACACAAACAGCGCCAACGTGTGTAATACGATCTGCAGGTCTACGTTGGCTTCAATCTTCCCGCTCGTGGCGAGTTCCTTGTTGAAGTCTCTTGGAACGAAATGGGGTGGTAAGCAAGCTGAATCCGAGGTTTTCTGGTGTTAGCCAGTAACGAATAACATTCTAGTATCACTGTTCGGCTTTCTTTCACTTGGGCTCATCCCGATTCCACTCATCTTGTTACGCTACGGCGCATCTATCCGAACACAATCGTACTACGCGCAGGAAGCGGCTACGGTTATTGCACGGATGCGCGAGGAATCGGGTTTTGGAGGCACGGCGACAGTCCAATTAACATCACTGCCGTACAGGAGGGAAGAACGAGCCCGACGCGAAATTCACGCTAGTCCAAGCATGGCCTCAATGCGGACAACGGTTACGAACATGTCGGACACTGGGACTCTTGTTGGGGAACGTTTGAAAGCAGTCTCAGCTGCGCACTTTGGTCTTGCGCGTGGAGCAATGGATTCAACCGACACCTTTGACTTGAAATGGATGCCCGCAAAGAAGTGAGACATCAGCATTGCAAATGGACATTTTTTGGAGTTTCCGGATTGAAATGGATTATATGATTACTACGGGTACTTGATGCGTGAGATGTATGATACAATTTTGCAACATGACTTTGATGCATGAAACGATGACAAAGTAAAGTAAAGAAAAGATATCCAAAATCCCCAGTAAACGAGCTACGAAGTTGAATCAGGACTGATAGTAGTTTCCAACGACACCTTTTTAACTGTTTTCTTTTCCATGACTTCCAGTGCTTTCTGTTCTCGCCATTCGCACCCATCCTTGTATTCACAGGAGCTGTCGGGGTGTGTTAGATCTGTGAGACGTCATCTAGACAAGACAAGAAAACCTGACGTACTTGCATCTGCCTGTTTCTTCGATTGTTACTCCATGAGCCGGGCGCTTCCCATGCCACCATGCCAGAACGCTTGACAGATGAGCGTTCAGGAGAGCAGCATCGTATTGAAACTTTTTAGTCCCCAAAATAAAGGAAGACTGGCCTGAGCCGGGAGCTTCGTTACTTGACGTGTCGTGCTCTGGAAACATGAGTCAATGGATTGATTGTGAAGTATCAGATGGACGTACCACTTGATGACTCGCTTGACATGGCATCATTCGAGCTGACAGTCGGTGCAGGTGATGCGCGAGACTTTCGTCGCTTGCGTTTGCGTTTACCTCCGGTGTCGTCATTATACATCTTGGTAGCTTGAGCAGATGATATTCCGGAAATGTCAACGACATCCGGCTTCTCTAGACTTGGAGACTCAACCGCGTTGACAGAGCCATCCATCGGCGGAGCCAGTTTAACGCCTTCGTCGTCTGTTTTAGCGTCAGGATCTTCAACAGTTTCTTTCACAGTCACAGTCGGTTGTAATTCGTCTTCTGCCTTGGAGAGCTTGCCCGATTTGGTGGCAGGTGTTTTCGAGGTCTTTGCCCTTTTCACCGATTCCCCCCGCAATCGGTATACTAGAGATAAGTCCTTGCCGACGCAGTCCTCCGTACAGAGGCCCATCTTCTTTAGAGAGTCCCAGTAGGGCATGTCCATGTCCTCTAAGCATTTTGCGTCAAGAAAATGAAGACTGAGGTCGTTCTCAATGACTAACTCCGACATCTCTGTGATGAATCTTTCTGAAAAAGGCCGAGTCGGGTCAGCACCAGTTCGAGCGCAGAACGCTGAGAAACTTGAATCGCTTGTCGGCTCGGAAAGTGCTTGTGAGAACATGAGCCAATACAACATGAGTTGAAGACGCGTAGGGAGGGTATCGGCGAGTGACGGTAGCACTGGTGTCTTGCGCGTCTTGTTGTCGAGAATGTGTACAATAAAACGGGGCGTTCCTGCTGATTCATGTACAACTCGTGGGGCAAATTGGGCAAAGGATTCAAGTTTTCTTCGAGCTGTTGAACTCTTTGCGTGCTTCTTTTGCTGGGAAGGCGAACTGTCTGTGGCTCCTGTGCGCTCGAGTCGTAGCTCGTCCTGAGATAACCATAAGCTACGAATTTCAGGGTAGAGCAATTTCACGAACAATAATTCCGTACATCGCCTGATTATGTATTATGCCCCATACGGGAATCTCTCGCTGAATGCGTCCTAGCTGTCAGAGCTTAATCAAGCTATGAGCAATAATGTAGGCTCACACAGACAAGGGACTCGGTGCTAGAGCTAAGCCTAGACAAGAAGTCAAGCAAACTGGAGAAGCAATTTAGGCCTTGATTGCAGCATAAACTATGTTATGGAATACCGCAAAGCCCATGTTTCCTCCTTCGTTTTAACTTTTATGACTACTTCCTCTTTATGAATTTCCTTTTCTAGCTTTCTGTGCACAACCTATGAAGAATAATATTCACATATTTGTTCAAACTTTTACGAAATAATACATACCCTGCCCTTCTTCAGCATTTGTTCGTTTTGAACCGCAACGGATGTCTTTACGTGGATTTCTTTACCCCTTGGTGTAATGAACGATTTTGGCCTTTCCTTTAGTGGTCTCCTCCGACGTTGTTGTAGCCCATAATCAAATTGAACCTCGCACCTATAAGACAAGGCCTATGATGTCGCTGATTACATAGCTAGGCAAATATGCCTTACCATGCTGGAGCAACGATGTCCGTTACGGACAAGTAACCGCGTTGTCTCCTGAAGCGAGCATACGGGCTTTCACCAGCTAACTTATAGACTCCATCAGCAGGTCTGCTGGTACCAGTACGAAAGTTATAAGCACCACGAAGGAGGGGAATATCATCCGGTCCGCTTTCTTCGCAGAGGCCGTCAATGATTTGAAGATCTTCTTCAGTGTATTCCGGCCAAGCGAGGGTGCCGAAGAAAGTGTCATCGGACATGCTACCAGCTAGTACTTTACCTAACACTGATTCATTAGTAAATAAACCTGTCGTGCAAAGCAAGGGAACGACAAGAATAGAGAGTAACAGAGCGTAAGACTCGCCGCACAGCGTGTAAGTAAGTAAATGCAATGAGGATACCGATTCACGTGACTCGTTCTATTCACCAGCGCGGCAATGCAGCTAGAGCGCTACAAACACGTCGCCAACGACGACGGAGAGATAATCCACTCCGGCCATGATGGCCTTCCCGTCAATGTATGCCCAGCAAGCCCAGGGTACACTCATGCCTGGACAGATGATTGCTGTTAACAAGTACAATGTCCAGGTCGAGAGATACCTGAGCCAAGGTACGTTGGTAACGACAGTCAAGCTTCCTCGACATTCACCCGGGATATCCAATAGGTGGTTTTGCACATGTATATCTCGTTCTGACTGCGGAGCCTGTGCTTGGAACATCCCATCATGTTTTGAAACGCATTGCGGTTACCAACGAAGCAATGTTGAACGACGTCAAAAAGGAGGTCGACATTATGGTGAGAGAACTGCTTAAAGTATCAGAATGGTTTCTAATATATTTTTATCAGAGGATTTTGAAAGGACATCCAAACATCGTGCATCTTATCGACGCTGCGTGGCACAGGATGCCAAATGGAATGTTCGAAGTCTTCATCTTGATGGAATTTTGCTCTGGTCAGTTCAACCACCTCGACTTGCAGTAAACGAACTCATGACATTTCTAGGTGGTGGTATAATCGACATGATGAATAGGCGACTACGCGAACGTCTCACCGAAGCTGAAATTCTCCAAATATTTGTAGACGTGTGCGAAGGCGTTGCCGCCATGCATAACCTCCGTCCGGCCCTGTTGCATCGTGATCTCAAGGTTGAAAATATCTTGCAAGCATCTCCTACTTCATTTAAACTCTGTGACTTTGGTTCCGCAACTCCAGTGGCACCTCGTCCGCCCTCCACAACACAAGAGATACGGGCCCTGGAGGCCGATCTCAACAAGCACACAACATTGCAATATCGGGCTCCGGAAATGGTTGACGTCTTTCTCCGGCGGCCCGTGGACGAGAAGTCCGACGTTTGGGCGCTTGGAGTTTTGCTGTATAAGCTATGTTACTACACAACACCATTCGAAGAGCATGGTGTACTTGCGATCTTAAATGTCCAGTACAAATTCCCTCCATACCCAGTCTATTCGCATCAGATGAATGCTCTGATAGGTATGTCCCTTGATCTAGACGACATCAAGCGTCGCTAATTTGTTTATAGCGTCCATGCTTCGGGAACATAATGCACATCGGCCATCGGTCTTTGAGGTCTTGGAAACTGTACATAAAATGCGTGGAACAAAGTCTCGCTTTACATACGTGAGTAACGTTATTCCAAAGCCAGAGAAAGACTAATATCAGTATTTAGAATATTCCTAATGAGCCACTTTCTCCTCGAGCCACCCTCTCTCCAGCGGCAACTCGGAAGACAATTTCCTCATCCTCGAAGACACCCGAACTGGTGACTTCCCCGCCTATGAACGGCATACAGGCGCGTGAGAAGGTTCTCGAGGCCATAGCCCCTATGCGTCGAGGAAGGCCGTCCAGTCCGACGAAGGGACGGAAAGTATCTGAGGATGCATTTAATCTACTCGACTCCGTTGAAGGAGGACCTTGGAGCTCGAGACCGGCGAAAGCACATAAGTCTGGCTTAGCTTCTGTTTCAACGGCGAAAAGCCCACCCCCGGTGAGCTCTGCGGGTGGTCTAGGTGACGCATGGTTGATACCCGGAGCGAAGAATGATGGACGCCAGCGTACAGGCACGGTAAATGGATTTGCAGACGCGTTTGATGCTCGAGTGGCGCCATCGTCACCCTTGCCTGCACCTACTGCTGCACCTCGACCGATTCCTGCTCAAGGAAATTCTTCGTTGAGGCCTCCTGGGGGCGATGCATTCGAGAGCTTGAATCTCTTCCCTTCACCAAAGTCTCAGTCGTTGACGCTCGGTGAAGCTCAGAAGGCTGCTTCCAATAGACCGTCCCCGTCGCTCCAACCCACGAATCGCAAATTCTCTATTTCTCCGTCACCTTCCGCCCAGTCACCTTCGCCGGCATCTGTTGAGGGTCTCATACTGAGGAGAGATCCTAGCCCGTTACTGAAGCCTAAACTATCTGACCAGGCGCTCGCCGCGGAACAACGATTCCCATCCCTAGAAGAGCTGGACGCCGGGACATTTAGTGGTAAGGTGTCTGCAGGCTCAATATCTGCGCCGGCCACTGCACCTGCGCCATCACCAGCTCCGCCACAGTTACCTCCGCGACCCAATGCTTCACGACAGGGCTCGTCTGCTTCGTTCTACCCGGCCAGTGTTGCAGGCGCGTTGCAATCGCCAGCAGAGCCAAAACTCATTTCTCCCATCAGTATGCGAAACGGGGGCGTTCGCTCACAGCAGGTTACCGGAACAGCGATGCGAGACGTGCGAAGGGGCCAGATTCCGCCCGTTACGACATCCACTTCTGCTTCTCCTGCGAATCAGTCCAGGCAGGAACATACCAGTGTTCGGCAGTCAAAGGTGGATAATGAAGCACGCGAGAGGTTACGTTCACCGAGCAGACCTATGTTAGTAAGGAAACATCGCAGCTCAATCTCTATCAAGCAAACGCAGCGTACTGGACCCGATATGTCGCCAACTAAGCCTGTGTCTGGACTTCCAATTTCATCTGACCCACCTAAAGACTGGTTGACTGGACCAAGTGAAGCGGAAGATGGGTCGAAGTTCGATAACGCCGCCGTACTTCGCGCGTCTCCGGAGAAACGTGCATCGGTATTAGAAAGTCCAGGTCCACCAGACGTTGGGCGTGCAGCATCCCTCCGAGAAGCTGTACCGTCGCCGGTCAAACGCAAACCAGTTCCGATTGACCGGCCAAAGCCAACTGACTTGAAACAAAGTACCTCAGATGCGAACAAGGAGAATGTGAATGGTCCGTCAGGTAGACTTACGGAGAACTGGAGTCCTGTTAGTCCAAAGAGCTCGTCTGAGGACGAGGCGGATGAAGGTCCTGAAGAAGCTGTCAGCACGGTGCGGCCAAGTACAGGACCAGTGAAGGTTCCAGCACAGACCCGCATCGGTCACAAGAGTCGCCAAGGATCAGTACATGACCTCGTAGACCTCTGGGGCGGGAGTGCGTCCCCAAAGACCTCTCCGTCTAAACAGGATAAACGGAGTTCCACGCTCGTAGCCCCACCAGCAACCAGTTCGGTATTTAATCGCACAAGATCCACGTCTCCAAGTCCTTCAGCAATGCTGAATTCGAGTGCAACGACCACTGAGAAGGCTTCACCGTCAAAATCTGCAGCTCCATTATCACGAAAGCCATCCGTAGCTTCTCGGAACACTCCTGCCGGTCATGTCAGGCAACCTTCGTCTCCTTCAAAGGCGAACCAGGCTTCTACGACGTCCTCGTCACGGTCTCGACCGCAGTCTATGTTACTCTTACCCGTCCAGAAGTCTGTGTCAGAGATGACTCCGCCATCGCCCGCAAAGGCATCACTTTCTCCGCCTCCGAACAAGGGCCTCGTTAGGCATCGACGTAGTTCAATATCTGATCTGGTTTCGCGTTATGAAGCGATAGACGAGCAGAGCAAGGTGGGAAAGCCACCACCAGCAACAAAGCCCGCACGCCTACGGGTAGTAAGTCCTACATCAGTGCCCGCTCCAGAGTCCTTGGTCTCTCCGTCCGCGGCAAGCGTACGCTTTCCTCATATTTCTCCGTCGAACTCGCCTAAGGAACCGCCTAAGTCTATTTACTCGTCGACGCTGGAACCTCCGACGCGCAGCACTTCGGGTCACGAGGAGTCGCGGAGACGTGAACCTAGCCCGCGCGCGAGCTCTCGACCAGCTTCGCCTCTGCGCTACAATGCGCCATCACCAGCGAAAGATAATGTGGCACCTGCAACGTCAACTATCTCGGCATCCCCGCGTTTTGAGCGGAAGGCATTGAACCCTCCTTCTCCTGTTTTAGCAGCGAAGGAATCGACTACATCCACCTCCATCAATGTAAAGCGAGATGAAGGCCGTCGGTCACCCTCACCTGAGAGGCCATACCAAGGTGTCAGCAAACTCATTAACCAATGGCAGAAGAAATCCGAGGAGGTGGAGGGCCCGAAGCGTGGTCCGGGCGGTGGTTCTAGCTTTAGAGGGACTGGATCGCGTTTTAGGCGAGAAGGTATCGCCGCCAGTGGCAAGCTTTCGTAGCGGTTTGCGTATATTCATACACGGACAACAAGACGATGCATTCAGACCGGATAGATATAAAAAAACGAATTTCCGATACCCTTGCTCTCGCTTACAGCAGATTGGATAATTTTCCGTTCGTGTCAATCTCAATTTCCAATTTGTATTATACTTGTACTTGTAGGATTTGCACCTTTGAGAAGAGTTAGCAGATAATAGTAATAAAGCCATTCATAACATCGCATGTACAATGTCTTACTTACGACTTACGACTAGAGATACCAACAGACGTAAAAGAGAAGGAATCACTATCCCTTCCACCTTATTTTATTTGTATAAGTCGAATATATGCGCATATAGACGCCGATCACCCATATTCGGAAGCATATCGTCATGGCTATATATGCAGTAACCACTTCTCCCTCCATCTTTCACTAAATCCACATCATGGCATCCTCTGCAAAATCTATGCCCGCTTGGCTGCAACGTGCCCTGTACGACAGGTCATATCAGGTGCATGTTTACCAAGAACTAGCCGCTCGCGAAACTGCGAGGGAGAATGCACGAACTATTTCTCGAACTCGCAATGGGAAGAAGAGTGGGCGTTCGTTCCTACGAGCATCATTTTCTAGCAGTAGACGCTCGGCGGTACCGGATTCTCATGCAGATCATTATCGAGTTGATATAGGAACCAAGAAGGAGAACTTACCGGAGAATAGATACTATGCGATTGAGCCATTCGATAGGACACGGGTTGTTGTTGATGGACTGGCCACAGATTCACAGAGTGAACGTTATTTGAACGCAAACTGGGTTAGGGAGCTGTATGGCGGCCATTGGTGGATCGCAACCCAGGCGCCACTTCCGAATACTGCACATACCTTCCTGTCGATGTTTCTCCAGCCAGATACCCGACCACCAGATCATCTAGCTTCACCGAACTCTATTGGTTCTACGCCATGTAGACTACGCACCGCCGTGCAACTGACTTTGTCAAGCGAAGGGGGGAGAACGAAAGCGCATCCTTATTTTCCCTCAGAGGTCGGTGAATCGTTCGTCATACCTGCGCCGCCAGGCTGCACAGATCCTGCCGTCAAGATTTCACTTGAAGCAGAGAAAAAGGACGAGTATGCGGGTTGCATACAGAGTACTATACGTCTCGCTCGCTGTTCACAACCAATCGGAGAGGTAGACACACTACGCTATACGAAAGTTGAAGAACTCGGTGAACCTGTGTTCTTTACACACCTCCTGTTTACGCATTGGCCAGACTTTGGTGTACCTGAAGGTCCCCAGGAGAAAGCGTGGCTACTAGCCTTTGCAAGGCTCGTTGCCAGAGTAAATAGGACTCCGCCTCCCTCCACCCCTCCTGATGCTGTGGTTCATCCTGATCCTCCAATCGTGGTGAACTGCTCTGCAGGCGTTGGCAGAACGGGTTCGTTCATCGCGCTCAACTCTTTACTTCGCGCACATGGGATGCTTTTACCTGAGTACGACCAATCTTGGTTCGACGGACTTCAGCCTCTCCCATCATCCCCACAAGGCCCCTTACCACAGACACTCGAACAAGACGAAGTCGCTGCGGAAATCGATTCGTTACGCGAACAGCGGCCCGCTATGGTACAACGACCTGAGCAGCAAATGCTCGTCTATGAACTGCTTGCCGCTGCTTATCACGAAGCCGCCGAAAGGGCAGAATCAAATCCGAGCTCCGAATAAATGACGGAACATGGCATATCCAGTGGATGATCTCTGTAGTTATATCATTGCTGTATATGTTATCTTGGACTATTACATAGCATTCATAGATCGTATTGGAAACAGCTTGAGATTAATGTGTACTTGATTGCCCTTGGGCTATGCACCTTATTGACTTAAAGACCTCTAATGTGGAAGCAATATTCTTCAATCTTTGCTTAGTTGAATGTTACTCCATGTGCTAACAAGGCATACAATAGTTATATTGTAATCTTAAAGTACTTCAGACAGGAAGAAGCCCACATCTTGTCACAAGATTATCTGCTGTCCACTCTAATACAAATACATATTTGTTTCATGGGAAGTGTCTGTTGTTTTAGACTACTAGCTGTGTTAAAAACATTCTGATAACCATGCACACTTCCTGGCTTCTCGTGTTTTAAGCCCTTCATTCATTTTAAAAAGCAGTCTAGTTGAAGTGAAAAAGCCCTCAGCTTTACCAAACGAAATGCCATTTAGTGCGTTAATGGGATACATATTTGTTAATGCATTAAAAGGCGTATCAAGACCATCTCTTTAATCAAGCCTGAGCAATAGCAGTGGACACCGGAGAAGCCGGGACAGTCGACGGTTGCAGAGCAGTATTCCATGTAGCAGTGGTGGGGTACGCAGTCGAAGCCGGAAGAGGGGACGTTGTCGCATAAGGAGTCGGTCCAGGCACTAAAAGCAATGATGTTCCCATTAAATGAATGGCATGAGGGGCTATAAGGGTTGGGACTGACCGGTGTAGGCAGTGAGGCTCTGGTAGATGTTGATAAGAATACCTAAGATGGTTTTTCAGTAACAGCAAACCACAGCGCCAGGACAGGATGCTTGCCTGGGTCTGATGCAGAGTACGCGCCAGGGAATTTGACGGTTGAAGGCGACGCCGATCCGGACCCACCGACGTTGAGCTGGAAGCATGACATGTAGAACCTTGCAGAAATTCAACTCGCCGGTCTCATCACAACACAATCATCTGACTCACTGTGCACCTCCAGTGCTGCTTGCAGTGTGCAGCGCTGAATGATCAAGATTAGATCGAAAGATGCATGGAGAGATAAAGTCGTGGAGTCACTGACCAATAGTTTCAGCACGGAGCAGATAGTTGCCTGGAGCGATATCAGACGGTATTGTGAACGTCCAGTGACCACAGTTGTCCTGAACGTGTGTTAGTTATGGACTATATGCGTACGATTGGCAACAAACAGCGCATACATTGAGAACTTCATTTGCCCAATAGTCAGGATTGTTGGACGCAAGACCATCCTCGTCAACCTTGAACCACCCGGCATCGGAGCCGACAGCGGTCGTTGCATCATCTACCTGTGCCAGATACATCTGCGAAAGTTACGTTATAAGAGCGTCTTATTATGAATGTGTCACAGGAAAAGTACTTACGATCATCGGACCATAGTGAGCTCCGCCAATAGCCTCGTTTGCACATGAACGGTCTCCGGGCTGCTGGTGCATCTCAACGGTGATCTCATCACCAGCTGTTTTTACCGTATCAAGCCAGAGTAAACCTAAGATCCCAATAAATACCTACGGTTAACTGTGCAGAGGTTAGGGCTTGAAGAAGCACCCGCATTGCAAGCAATGTCCTAGACAGTTAACCATGAAGACAGGACCAATCTTGTTTGCAGGAGCCAACTCACAGTGCTGGTCACATCCTGAAAAGAGGCTAGGGAGTGAGGATAAAGGGTTGCATATACGACAAAACCACGAACCGTGACGGGCGAGTTTGACGCAGGCGTTCGCACACAGAAGTTGCCTTGGTCTACGCCATTGACCCACATCTCTTGGAAAGTCGCATGGGCCGAAACGGATGCAACGACAGACGCGAGGAGTGCTGCAGAGAACAACATGATGCTGACAGATAGACGCGGGTGACGATTTGACGGTAGTCTCTGGTACCTCGCTTTCAAGAGGTAATATACCTTTTATATGTTTATTAAGTTCAGTAATATTCGGTCAATCTTGCATTCAAAGACCTATAAAAACGGAGCCATTTTATCTTCCGTATTTTTTCCAGACGGAGAAAACAGACTCTGTGCACAGGACATGACAGCCCAAGATACAGACATATCGAGACATATACTCCGAAGTTCTTGTAAGAGAGAATTGGTTGCCAAGGACATAGACATCATAAGACACGAGCAATCTTGCAGCTTCCGGAGTAAAGCCGTTCAAAGTTATTTCCTATTAGATGCATTTCCTTCGGAACGGAAATGGTCAAAAAGCTCACGTATACGTCATGAGATTGATCCACAAGGTATCACGGAACCATGGAGAAATTGAGGGGAGATAAACTCCGAGGCGGACACCTACGCAGTCATGTATCGTCGAAAATGGCAGATTTGCCTCGCTTATTCAATCGAGAACGGGTTACTTCAGATACTTACTGTCATCCGTCAGGGAAAAAAGGCTATAATTACAGATACCGAGCCATTGCAGCTCGACCTCGAAATTGGTCATGAAGCGGCAGGACTACCAACAGAGCCAGCTACAACATCTTCTTCCTTGGCGCGTTTCTTTTTTCCTGTCGTCCCACCTGCTTTCTTTTTCTTCACCTTGGTGACCTTGATAAGCTCAGGATTGCTTGTGTTGGGCGTTTCGTCGTCATGAACTTCGTAAACTTGGAAAGAAGATGGCGGGATAGCGGGTGAACTGGTTCGAGCAGGTGTCGAAGAGCCGGAAACATACGGTTTTTGTTCGGGGATGGTTGGAGTGTGTGTGGGAACGGGCGTATCCCGCTTGAGAGCATCTGGTGGCATTTCTCCACCTCGGTCCACTGTGAAAGAAGAACGCGCTGACGAAGAAGATCGGGGAAAGATAGGAACATTCGAGGGTGTTACGCTTCGTGCAGTAACACCCACTTCATGACAAACAAATGCATATAAGTCAATATTCGGATCTTCTGTCAAAGCCGTCAACAACTTACCCGAATTTAAGGGAGGAAGATCATCCAAACGGACAACAGGAATTGAATCCACGTCATCGTTTTGTCGGGACTTAGGATTGTTGTCAATGATGTAGTAGGGATCATCGCGAAGCATCTCCAATCGACGTGCTTTGGCCTTTCAATTGAAACATGAGAACATCGTCCCTCTATACTCATCAAAATGCAAAACATACCCTTTCGCGTTCCTCAGCCTCCGCAATTTCCTCCTGAGTTGGCTCAGGTATCCCTGCACTTGCTTTCTTCTTTCCAGCCTTCTTGCTTCTCCCGACACCCTCTCCGCCATCCTTCTCTTTCGCCTTTCCCTTTCTATCCTTCTTTTTCTTCTTCACTTCCACCGCTACTGGTTCTTCAGCCTTCGGCATCGCATGTGACACTATCCATGCATCGAGATCCAAACTCTCTGGTACAGGCACGCTAGCTTGCGCCTCAGGTGCAACAGGGTTCAACTCGTACGCCGAGAACAGCGGTTGGAGGAGGTATAAGCTCTTCGGGTATACGGGTTCGGTAAGACCCACAGGGTCGAATGCAGATGTACTGATGTCTGCAAAACCGTTACCATAATCTGACTTCGGCTTTGGACGGAAAGATGACAAGTCGGCCTGGATGAACGTGAATAATTGTAGAACATTTGCTGCCTATAATATGCCAAGAAAAATAGTGTTATTTAGTAATGCCTAATATGTGTTATACGATTCTTACCCTTTCCTGGACCTCAAAGTCCGCGTGTGTTGCAAACTGACGAACACCAGATATGACAGAGGAAACGGTCTCCTTAATCTCCGGTAAGTCATCATCATCCCATCGTTCTGCCAGCTCTACAGCCCACGTCGCGAAGACTTTAGCCGCGCACTGGATATACATGGCGATAATATCCGATGGTAGTTTTGCGACATCGGAGGAGAGAAGTGAAGGGAGTGCCTTCCGAGTATCAGACAACTCACTAAGAACGAACAATCAACTTAATGAACGGGAAAGCGTTTGGAACCAGTCTCACCTGCCATATTCCCCGCAAATCCAAGCAGCAGCCCACAATATCTCTTGACATCCAGACCCTTCATTATTTAGCCCAGGCTCATCTGCTCTCAAGAAAGTCTCGTCTATAAGAAGACGCATACAAACTTGAACTGCATATCTCCTGATTTGTCGTACCCGTACTGCGATATCCACCAGCTGATCTCTAATAGCCTCGCCCACTGGTGCTCGAGCAACGTATGCAAGGTCGACGAGCACCGAAACATACCACTCAAAGTCAGTGACATTCTCATACAGATTTGTCGAACATAGGGATAATATGCGCCGTGAGAGGGACTCTCGATAGGCTGATGAAAATTGAGCTGGTGAACTGACAGGTCGATCGGTTGTTGCTGCAGACTGGACTGCAGCAAGCGACTGCGCAGCGGAGATGGTGTTAATGCTGGAAGACTCTGGTAGTGTAAGGTGTGAAAGGAGCTGTTGTACGATAGATTGCAGATTGTTTGTGTTGACCTACAAGCGGTGCGTTAGCATCGTCACCTAGCGTGCAAACAACTGTTTACGGACCATGGCTGAGACAAGGTCAAGAGCTCGCATGCGGATACTAAGGTCCTGGTCATTGACACTGGCCAATATTCGCGATTCATAATCTGCAACCAGATGAGGATAAGATGGCACAATCTTTGTCATAGCTAAAAGGGCAATGTATTTCACTAACATAGCTCAAATTTAGCATTAAATATCTAGAGATGATCATAAAAGGAGTATTACATACGATTCTGGTCAGGATCCTCCAGGAACGCAGCCAACTTCGTGACGCAAGTCTGCGCTAACGAATGACCGGAAACGCCTGTCAACATGCCACCGATGATACATGTATGCACGCATTCATACAGAAGTGAGATCGCAGGAGTCGTGGTGATGAGTTCAGTTATCGGAGGTTGCAGCTTCTTAATAAGCCGTGGTTCGTGTGGTGTTAATAACCCAAACTGTTATGAATCATCATCAGTACTACACGAAAACAGTCTTGGGGAGAAGATACACACGAGTTTTATTATTTTGATGAGCATCCAATTGTTATTTGACGTAGTAAGGAGATGGAAGAGGGGTGGAGCGAATGGGAGGTACGATCGCGGATCCTGTCTCGCAAGCTCACAGAGCACATTAACCGAAGCACTAACCACACCTGTTCTTCGTGTCAGAATTCAGAAGTGCAATGTATATTGTACTCATCCATCAGTACGCACCAATATCTGGATCCTCAAGTCTCTCCTTTAGACGATCCATACCATAGTCGAGCGCATCTGGATACTTCATGAACACTTTGTACAAAGCTAGGACCGCACGCTTTCGTATTGCTGGTCGAGAGTGAGTGAGAAGAGAGATAAGGTCGCGGGAAAGATCTCGTCCAAGATCCGGAGTAACGATATGGGAGAGGCCGTTGAGCGAGACGGCTACCTCGAGAGGCTTAGAGGACGTCATATCCTGTGTAACGTATGCTTAATATCTACCACATAACTTCCGAGGATATCAGACTACATACCTTCTTGAGTAAATTAGTCGTAAGCATCAGCACATCCGTCTCTTGTTCGAAGGTTTGCGTAGCAGCCAAATATCCCATACTCTTCAAATGAAATCTCGGAGAAGACATAACCTCGACAACATGAAACGAAGCCCAACTCATATCATATCCGAGCATTTCAAGCTGAATCGGCAAGTTCGTAAAGTCATAGTTCACGTTTAGTTAGTACTATCAGTACTGTAGAAAGTTTGGAATTTACACACATAAGTGAGTTTAAGCACAGCAGCAGCCTTGAGTTCCATGTCATCGCTCCGTACCTCCTTCCGGATTTCTTCTATTGCCCCGGCGATGAAATTGGCCTCGTCATGTTTATGAGCGCGAAGACCACGAATTAAGTCTTGAAGATTGCGCTCCCACATCCTCTCTACTCAGAACAAGTCAACGAATAACTGGTTGGGTGCTTGAAGCGTGTCCGTGTCAGTAATGCACGTATGTTTGATGTGAATGAGTGATTGGCTTGCCAATGCACGTTCCGGTACAGTTACAATCAAGGATAGCAGCTTGTTCATAGCATCCTCATGGAGCAAATGGTGCGTTGTTGGTTGCGTGCTTCTTGATTGAGGATGAGTTAGCGAGACTCGACTTGAGTGTGGACTCCGGCATAACTGACTAACGGAGCGGCTTGGACGCTTCGGACATTGCCGAATTCTGCACAACCCAGTCCACTCGACGCAAAGACACATTCAAAAATATCAATTTAAATCGGTTCAGAACTCCATCCCAATTCAACTAATTCTATGCAAATACATGTTTAATCCGCCCCAAGCAAGTATTAATTGCCCGCTCGAGAGTTCCGTAACTACCCTACCGATAGTTATTCCAAATACTCTAGAGGAAGGAAAGCTGTCTATTATTTCACCTTTGGTAATGTCGTGAAGAGAATATGAATATAAAATGACGTGCGTCGTAGCGGTCATGCCAAACAATCAATGAGAAAAGGAAACCGGGAGTCATTGACCCGGTCAAAAGAAAAATATAATAGATGCACGAGAAAGAGAAAACCTTCCAAAAATGGAAAAACAATTTTTGAAATAGCATGCATAGACATGATCTATCGTTTGGCGAAACGGAGGAAACGTGATGCAACTGGAGTAAGAGATAGTTGTCAGAGCGTGTATTAGAACAGAAAAACGGCCTTGACTTACTAATAGTAGCAACCATGTTGAAAACTACGAGTAAAAAGTGTATCAGCATTCAAATAAAAGAGGTCGGAAAAGGACACATACCGAAGTAGCAGAATACGAGCCAAACATCCCGCCAGCGGTCATCGTAGCTAATACGAAGTGGTGTGTAGAACTCGTCACCTTTTCTGTATTGACAGTACTGGCAATCAGCCGTTGCGTTCTGGTTGTTCAGGTATCCACCAAACGCAGAGACGAACTCTCCCGCCCACTGTTGGCATGTCTGGCCAGATGGGGGGTTGAAATGCGCGAACTCGTCGTCCCGGCAATTGACGGTCAGACCACTGGACTGAACTTAGTAACTTCGTCCGAGTAAACAGGGCTGATAAAAACGTACTGAAGTTCGGTAGAAAGCATACCTCCCAACACGTACGTGTATGGTGTAAGCCAGTACAGCCACGAGCGCCAGAACTTCGCCATCGTCGGGTACGGGATAGTCACACCAGCGAAGGTCGTCAGTACCAGACCCAAGAACGGGTTGAACAAGACGGCAATCTAACGAAAATGCAATTGGTACAATTCACGGCAAAGATGTAATTGTTCGGAATTACCTGGATAGAAGGTGAGATAGCGGCGATCAACTGACCGAGGGCGACACCGAAGAGTTCCACGAAAATGATCATGAGCAGCTGGTAGCCGTTTCCATTCGTACCGGCCGCTCCCTTGCCGAAGCCCATTGGCCATACTGCAAGAGCCCAGTAGACAATAGCGCAGAGAATCGAGTACGGAATTTCACTAATCAACTGGCCGATGGCGAAGACATACGGCGAGTAGATGCGACTCGAAGCCTCTGCATTTAATAGTTAGCACCGAATCAGTGCAACAAAGGATAAACAACATACCTCTGATGAAAGTCCTCCGGTTCATGATGAATAGAGGTTCGATCTGAGACATCAGAATAGCTGGCAAGACGGACACCCAGAAACTTCATGCGCGAGTTAGCTGCCAAAAATAAATAATACAGCAATATAAAAATTAACATACATTCCAAACACCTGGAAATAGTAGCATGTCAGAATATCGTTTTATTGGAATGCCAGATATACTACTTACTCGGTATTGGAGGTCACGAAGACTGTCAGTAAGCTGAAGGAGCGACAGCGAAGAGAAGAGCGAGATGAACAGGTGAACAAAGAGTCGCGTGAACACATAGTCTGGTGAACGCCAAAGTGCGATGTTGTTCCTCGAAACGACCGTCTTGAGCTGGTACATGAACGGCGTTGCATCTAAGTCCCCATAATCAGTCTACTTTATTCGCGACCCTTGGATAGAACGCAAAACTTACAAGTTGACTTCTTCACAGCACTAGAGTACGGCTTCGCGAGCGCTTTCTCTTTCATCTCTTTGATTTCCTGACGCGCACGAGCACATTCTGGAGACTCAAGCCAGATATCCTTCCAGTCGCGACTGCCGATACGCGGTGTAACACCTGCGCCGATCGCCTCAAGCATGTATTCCGCGGGATTCATATTTGGCGGGCAGACAGCTCCGTAGCGCGCAAAGTAATCGCGTAGTACATGCGAATCTGTGCCGATGTCGCCGAAGTAAACTGTCTCACCCCCTTTCTCAAGAAGAAGCAAGCGATCTGGAAACATATCAGTATACAGAAGACATTACTAATAATAGTGGTTAATGCAACTCACCGAAACTTTCGAAAAGAAGCGAAGACGGTTGGTGGATGGTACACAGTATAGCTAAAACACGTATTAGAGAATCAGTCATTTCACCAATAAAGATCGAAATACCTTGTCCACTGTCTGCAAGCTTCCTAAGGAATCTAACCAGATTCCATGCAGACTGACTGTCGAGACCCGAGGTCGGCTCGTCCAAGAACAAAAGCAACTCAGGCTTGCTCGCGAGTTCGACACCGATTGTCAACCGTTTCCGTGCCTCGACAGTCAGACTGAAGACCATCGCATCCGCCATGTCTTGCAACTCGAGTAGCTCAAGCATTTCCTCGACGTATGCATCTTTCTCTTCCTTCGACACTGAGAAAGGCTGGCGGAGATAAGCGGAGAAGCGCATGGCCTCGCGAATCGTCGTTGTTCCCTCGTGTACATCCATTTGCTCGGCTAATAAGCTCACGTCAGTATCACGGACATCGGCATTGTATCCCCAGAAGCGACGTACCATATGCAGTACCGCGTGCGAAGTCGGAATCGAGAGGGCGACCATCGACAAGAATGTCTCCAGTGACAACACCAATATTCTTCCTTTGTGCAAGGACGTCCAAACACGTCGTCTTACCAGCACCGGACGCACCCATTAACGCAGTAAGTGTACCTGGTTTCACATATCCCATGACATCGTGCAGCAAACGACGATTGCCACCAGGTACAGGTACAACGTAGTTCAGGTTCTCCCAAGTGAAGACGCGGCGGTCTGAGAAATCCTTCTTCTTCTCGTCACTGTAGTCCTCTTCTCCCTTCTCGCGCAAAGCACGGTTTTCCTTACGCTTGTGTAGCTCTTCGTTCAGCTTCTTCGTCTCTGCATTCTCCTTAGCAAAGATCGTTACAGACGATACGCCAGTATAACGCTAGAATATGCATAAAACCATTAGGCAGGTCATGCGATGCATCGGAGCAATCAACTTACCGGGAAGTACTCAAGTGCGATCAACTGAGTGATTTGGAATACGACGAAGAATGCAGCTAGAACCACGAAATTCCGGCGCCATAAATCGGACACATTGTACTGATAACCGGCACCGATATACGAGCTGCCAGGTACTGACGAACTACTGGGTGATGAACCAAAGAGGGTGCACACTTGGTTCGGTCCGACGCCGTCGGGGTACTTGTTCAAAATACCACCATTCCTTGGGGCAACGGAATTACCGTCGCATGATAGCGAAATACGCATGAACTCGTTCTCCATGCATCCGGAGAAGGCATAGTAGAGCGGATTGATGTACGAAATCCAGAAGAGCCACCGCTTCATATCGAAAATGGGGATAATGTAGCCCGCATAACTAATCATGTTCGGCACGAAGAAAGTTGCAATGCGGAACGCGCTGTCAAAGTTGACACATAGAAGTCCCATAGTGCGGAAGAAGCCTTGCATGGCGAGGTACGCAAGGTAAGTGAACAGATGGAACGTAAAGAAACCACCAGCAGTCCAGCTGAGGTGCGGCATGAAATACACGATAACGTTGAACACGAATATACGCGATGCACTGAACGGTAAATCTGCTAGAGTGTTGCTGAGTGCAACGGCCGCGGGGCGATAGAAACCGTAAGCACTTTGCTTGTGCAGAATCGGCCTTCCATGCATCTGTGTCGGCATCTCACCAAATGCATCGAGGCAACTTGTAAGCATCGCGACGAAAATAACTGAACCACGTGTAAATGCTCCTGCACTAGTTGGCGGGAGGTTGTAGAATGCCGCTCCAATGACGATAGCAAGAATCCATGCAAGTCCGTATGAAGTGATAAGCTGGAAGCGATCTTGAATGCGCAGCTGGAACTGACGCTTAGTAAGGGCCTTGACCTGTCCAAAGAATCCAAGCGTATAAGGACTCTTCTTAGATACACCACGTTTCTTGTCAGCTTCGACAGCTGCGCGAAAGGCTTCTTGGTCAGCTTTTTCGGTTTCCTGTAGGAGCTTGTACTTGGAGAGCTCGTCATCGAGGGAAATTCCGTAACGAGATCTGCGGAAGGCAGCTTCCATTGCCTCAGGTGTTGAAGGAACGCTGTGTGCAGAAAGCCCAGGAGCAAACTGGCGCTCATTCTTGTCCGTGCAACCGGTAAGATAGTCTGCTGTACTCTGGCGCGGGAGTTTATTGTATCCAAGGTTCTCGAAGTACGCACGAGCCTCCGAAGGCGGTCCGAAGAAGACCTGGTGACCCTCGTCAAGTACCATGACCTTGTCAAATAGGTTGTAGATTCCTTCACCAGCCTGGTATAGTGTGACGAAAACCGTTTGTCCAAGTACATCGGTCATGATTCTTAGACTCTTAGCGAAGTCCAGGGCAGTACTGGCATCGAGTCCGCGAGTCGAGTTATCCCAGCACTGGACGTGGGCACGAGTTGCCATCATTTCCGCGATACTTACACGCTTGCGCTCACCGCCGCTAACACCGCGTACGAATTCATCGCCGACGAGTGTGTTTGCAGTGTGGCTGATATTGAGCATTTTCAAAAGCGTATTTAAGACTTCCCTGGCAAAGTCCTTGCGCGAGACGCCGGGAAGTCGTGCATTCGGACCTGGAGTTTTTGTGCTAAGTGCGAAGGCCAAAGTCTGCTGCACAGTGAGAGTAGCCATATGAATATCGTCCTCCTGGTTGTACACCACTTCGCCCTTGTAACGTTTAGCCATTTCGGTGGCATCGATACCTGCGTAGCGCACGTCGCCCGATACTCGGCCATACTCGCGCCGCTGGTTTGCGATCGCCTTAAGGAAAGTTGTACAGCCTGATCCAGGGCAGCCAAGAACAAGGCACATCTCGCCAGGTTTTAACACCCCTGATGATCTGCGTTTCGTTAAGAAAATTGCTTCCCAAATATGATACGACATGCAAAATGCTTACTTGTGAAGAATCGTGCGTGTAGGCATCGCATTTCTTTTTGAAGGGGCGACAAGATTAAACAAAGTCATGAACCAGAAATACGGAAGCAAACAAAATTCCAAAATTGCCTGTCCGAATGTCCTAACGTGGAACTACACAGCCATGAGTATAACCGAAGCATACAATGAGGCGGATGCGAAGCGTACCTTGTAGTCGACACCACCATTGACATCGACCTGGAGGTCTTCCCAGGTGACACCGACATGTTTGTGCTTGAGACCGGCGGCAGTAGCCTTGTCGTTAGACGAGCTGAGGTACTCCTTGAGGTCGAACGGCTGCTCTGCCTTCTCCTCATCGTACACATCGAGTGCTCTCTTCTCATCCGAGATAGAGTTGGTACGTCGCCTTGCGAGCTCCTTGCGGGACTCGGTGGTGGTGGCGCGTTCGAGGGTGTGGAATGCGCGTTCGGCGCGTGAGATGTCGACCTCGGACACGATGTGCTCTTCGTGAACGGGCTCGTCATGGAGGGTCGGAGTCTGGGACGGGATGGCACTGACACTCATGACTGTTGTTGGCTGTCAGTGGAGGGAAAGGGCCAAACGAGACTAGACATTTCGAAAGGGCGAGAACCATGGAGCATTTATACCATAGACGATCGCATGTAACAAAATTAGTGGGCTGATTAGCAAGCCACGATATGTTACGCTATCGAAATTACTGCTCGCACTACCAGTCGCAGTTTGGCTTCAAATCACTTCGGTCCCGCCACACCACACCACCAGGATGACTCGCGTGATTTCTCTAAATTGGCCCCCCCGGTTTCACTTCCGACCAATTTTGAGGACGGGACGGGCAAATGGAAGTATGGGAATATTACAGCTTCCCACACAAATAGCCTCACAGGGTATTTTACGGAATTATTGATGATGTTAAAAATTGTTCGCCACAGCCATTTCGCACCGGAGACTTCTTTCCCCTCTGCCAATCGTCCGAGCACGACTGCCCCTGACACATCAATCCCTGACTAACAAATCGAATTCTTGTCGATAACAAGCTGGTTTCAAATTCTGCTATCTGCGCTCTCAAAAGGAGAATGCACGATGCGATATTCCGGACATCTCGCTGGATATATGGAAGAACACTCACCGCAGCGAGTCACCGTCCCTCCGAGGCTGTATAGCGGACGAGAACCTACACCAGTGACATACCGAGTCATTGTTGAGGTTCTTCCGACTCCGAAGGGCCGGAGATTGGATGGTCACCCTTAATTTCCGGATCCATTTATTATGTAACAGTATTGGATTAGGGAATTTCCAAGAATTGCTTGTCTGAAGGACGAGAAGAGAACGACGCGTCACCATTTGAAAATGTCATCTGCTCGTACTTTTGACTCTTTCGTCGTAAAGTTGTTGTGTCTCAGATCTGTTGACCATCCTATTCTTAATGGGATCGTCGTTTTAGCAGTGGCGGTGACAAAGGGTGACACTGGATGCCCAAAATGGGCACAGCGGATCAATGCTCGGGAACGTAGCCGGTCGCTCAATCAGGTTGCACTTGTCCACCGTCACCCACTCGTCGGTTGTTTTGAGCCACTTCTGCGAACGCTGACAACGGGGTGGTCGACGGCGCTGGCGACATCTCTCCTTGCTTTTTTCGCTTGCTTTCCATTCTCCATCACTGCCAAGCTGGACTCGGTCTTGTCTTCGACTCACTTAGTTCTTTTGATTACGGAATACAATGCCTCGCCCGAATCCATGGATCGCATCCTCCGCCTATTCAGCTTATGACGAACAAGCTCTAACTCCGCGAACACCTCATTCACGCGCCGGGCGCACTGAAGAAGCAAGATTTGATGCGGACGACGACAGAGAAGACGCAAACTCCTATGAATTAGAAGCTCAGCAGCACGCTCCGCTGCTCACTTCATCTGCCAGCGTGTCTTTTCCGCATCGGCGATCACCAAATGTTGATGTGAAGTCTGCGAAGCCGTCTTCGAATATCGATTGGACGCTTGTGCGAAGGCGCATCCCGCTCGTTGTCGGTCTTGCAAGCGTAATCCTGCTGGCATTCCTTGTCATTCTGTCTGTCGAAACCCCCGAGAAGTTGCACACTTACTTGCATGGATCTCCTGTACCTTCATTCCCGAACTCCAGTACCGACGCTTCTACTGAAAATAATGCATCTCACTCAATGGGAATGCTCATGTACGAAGGCTACGAATCTTTCCCGTTAACACCTCTGGAATATCGTAACGAATGTTCAAAATTCCTAGCTGGCATGAAGGGGCCCATGGGAACATATTGGTACATCCCTCCCGGTGGTCCTATGGATGTTCCACATCCGCCAAATAGCAGTGTTTGCACAAGCACAATCACGTACATGCTCGATGGGTACGTAGGCCTTGCCGCAGACTTGGCACTCATGGCGCAAGCAGCCGGGCTTGCACGGGAAGTACGTCTTCCATTTCTTACCCTTTCTTCATTCTGTACTCCATTCACCGAACTCAATGCCGTGCGCTTGCGTAGACGAACAAGACCTTTTTTATTGATGATCGAAATTGGAACCGCGGGCGGTGAGTTTCTATGAAAGCGTATTCGAATTGCCAACTTTGCTATCGATAACTGCTGATATTAAGGCATCCTGTGTTCCAGATGGAGCGACCATTTCCAAGACGTGCGTGTGCTACAGCCTGGACCCGAGCCAGACTGTCTCCCTCCACCTCCAGAAGGTAAGAGAATACCTGACTCATCGTTACAAGTTGATATGAGTTGCTTATGGTGTTGTTTTACGTTATTGTAGAACTTGTGGCATGTCCAAGGACAGCTCGGTAAGCAACTCCTAAAGAGATTATCCAGTATTGCGACTAAGTAATGACGTGATTGCAACCCCTATCTCTAGGCACTGGGTAAGTGTATCTAACGCGTTTATGCTACCGATACCGATAAGATGTGCGATCCTGACATCGGACATTTGTTAGGTCATCAACTCAAGGACCGCATTATTCCACTTCGGACACCATTTCATGGATGAATTCGAAGATCCGTAAGCAACCTCCGTTTCATCTTTAATTCTATCAAGCGGATCTTTGACTCGGTATTCATACTCTACACCGTATGTTCATGTTTCATGATCGGGACATAGCTACGCAAGGGAACTCCGCCGAGCGAAGCCTATCTTTCGACGCGCCGCGTCATCCTTCGCGCAAACTGTACGACCGAACGCGGAAAGTGCTGCTCGTATACAAGTCGCACGTCAACAGGTTGGGTCATCGTACATCGCTGCTCATGTGCGACATGGAGACAGGAGAACAGAAGCTTGGGAGTACCATGGTGGGTATGTGCCCCTCGTGGAGTATGCCAATGCCGTAAGAGATATGTCGGAGAGGGCTGCAGTGATGGCACGTGAAAATGCCAATGGTGTCGATCAAAGAGGGACAGATACAGTGTGGATCGCCTCTGATGATCCATTTGCTCAACAAGAACTCGCGCAACTCTTGACTGACTCGGATCAGCCAATGCGTGTCTACTCACTGGAGAGAAGCACAAACGCGGAGTTAAGGTCGATAGCGAGTCGGGAAGCGTATGTACAAGCCGAGTTCGCAGCACTATCGGAAGAACAGCGGATACGGTTGACTCGAGGCGCACTTGTTGACTTCGCGCTTGTTAGTGGATTATGGACCGATGAGACGGCAGACGAGGCGACGTTGGAGGGTGTTATATGCACGATCAGGTTCGCCTTTTCTTGGGTTTCTAACTGCACCTATCATCAGCTCACTTTCACTTTGTTTATTTTATTTAGCTCAAACTTCTGTAAACTCGCCGCTGTCGGACTCGGTTGGGACCAAGCCTTTGGATTCGCTCCAGGTGACCCAGATAGGACGATCATGACGATGGACGAGGCGCGAAAACGGTGGGTTGAAATTGATTTGAAAGGGAGCGTTGATCCTGTCTGGAGAGCTTTCGAGTTATTTTAGTCGGGTGCATTGAATTCTTGCATTGAGTTATTTTTCACATGTACATATATGCACATGCATTCGTTCATTTCGATTTGACGTTCTTTCTCTTCCGGATGGACGGAAGTATAATTAGTATTTATAAGTCTGGACTGGTCTGGAGCACGTTGTTAGCATTGAGGCAACGTGGAAGTGTTGTTTGGAACATTCTGAGATGCTTACCGCGGAGACTCATTTGGTTTGGTTCCGAATCCACACGCATGGGCCTCAACGACATACATGTGCGGAGGCAAGTCCACTAACAGCAGAACAACAAGTCATTATTCTTTGTATTCAGCATGCTTCAGACGCGTTAGTGCGAACTATTTGTCATTCTGCTATCTCTTATATGGGCAGAATACAAGAAGTGAGACATGCAGGGAGGAGAGAGATATTGACTCGACGCGTGTCAGTCACGAGATGTCAGCCGAAGCGCGTCTCGTGCCCAATAAGGCGATGCCGCACGCAGCAGGCCCATCGGCGAAGAACAGAACACAGGACCCAAGTCACAGCGAGCCTTGTCCCAACCAGGCTATCTCACCGCATTCGCTCGAGACGACCCCTCTTCTACTTCCTGCCACTTTCTACGACTGCAACGTCATCGTTTTGTTATTATTATTCCCCACATTGGCCCGCGTTATAACCCCTGGTTAGGTCCTACTTAGATTACGTTGTGGTTCGTTTTTGACTCCGTGCGTTTGCGTTTGCGTGTCTTCAACGTGCTCCTTCCTCCTTCTTCTCGTGTCTGTGCTTTCTCCTTTGACGATCGTGGATTCGTTCGTGTTTATTGGTCGGTTAGGAAGACTGGGTAGCATACGATGGTGAGTTGAAGTTTGCTTTCGTTGTTGACTTCTGTGTTCGAAGGAACGACGCGTCCGATGTGTTCTGATCAACCGAATCTACTTGTCCACGTTGCTCCTACAACGTGCCTTCATACATCTAGGACGCGCGACACCAAGATCCGGAAGACTTCTACGTTAGGCAGAATCGGATAGGTATGTTGACTTCCGTTTCACTTCGAACAGACCGCGTCAACTTTCTTCGCTCAACATTTCTTGGTTTGTAGGAAAGGGATCCTTCGGCGAAGTGTACAAGGGGTAAGTTCTACCGTCCACGTCGGTCTCACCGCAGTTCAAATTTTCGCTCAACTCAACTCGAACCTTGATGTCATGATTAGATATGATAAGCGCACCCAGAAGACTGTTGCCATCAAGATTATCGACCTCGAGAGTGCGGAAGATGAGATTGAGGATATCCAGCAGGAGATTCAGATATTATCGCAATTGGATTCACAACATGTTACCAAGTACGTGGTTGTAAATTTTTTTTGGTTGAGTTTTTATGGCTCATCCGGTTTATACGGGATAGATACCACGGATCATACTTGAAAGGCTCGAACTTATGGATTGTAATGGAGTGCGCTTAACTCATTAGTCATTTTGACGCGCATATATCTGACTCGCCACCACCAGGTACTGTTCTGGAGGGTCATGCTCTGACCTTGTGCGTAATCTTGAATTTGAGTTTTCTCAAAAGGGCTTGCATGGCTTATTGACCCTGACAGATGAAACCTGGTGTATTCCGAGAAGAATACATCGCTATCATCGTTCGTGAACTGCTGAAAGGGTTGGATTACCTGCACATGGAGGGCAAATTACATCGGGATATTAAAGGTGCGCGTTGTCGGATACCGGATGCTCGGACGTAATGCTTAATCTGGGCATATATTTAGCTGCAAACATCCTGCTCTCGGCAACTGGCGACGTGAAATTGGCTGACTTTGGAGTGTCAGGCCAACTTTCGGGCACGTTGTCTGCGAAAAAGAATACATTCGTCGGCACGCCATATTGGATGTCACCTGAAGTAATAAAGCAGTCGGGATACGACTATAAGGCGGACATTTGGAGTCTTGGGATCACGGCAATTGAGTTGGCCAAGGGAGAACCTCCCTATGCTGAGCTCCATCCAATGAAGGTGCTGTTCTTAATCCCGAAGAACCCGCCGCCACAACTGGATGCTTCGTTTTCACGACCATTCCGAGAATTTGTTTCCCTATGTCTGCAGCGTGACCCGCGACAGGTACGTAAAACCTATTTCATATTCATGGAGCTGGAAGAACTAACATACGGGGTTTTAGCGTCCTTCTGCTCGGGAACTGCTAAAACATAAATTCGTACGCATGGCAAAGAAGACGAGTTACCTTACTGAGCTTATCGAAAGGCACGAGCGATGGAAGGCAGAAGGTGGCGAACGAACGGAAGATGACGACGTCGCTGATGATGACATCACGTATGTCATCTAACCTCTTCCTCTTCTTTCTTGTGTCTTCTTTCTCCTATCTTTTTATCTGTGATTCTTTTCGTATGTAGCATTGCTGACTTCTTGCCTTCTTGCTCCGATGGGATTAGGGGTCTTGCACAAGATATGGATGACCTATGGGATTTCGGCACCGTGCGGCATGTGAGTCGCCAAGCAACGATTGGACGAAAAGGGGATACGATCAATGGATATAATAATAATAACGGAATCGGGAATGGGAATGCGTATCCAAATCCTATTCCTAATTCGAACGGAGCTCCGGTCAGTCCACCTCGGACACGTCAAGTGGCTGCTCCACCGAGTGCGAATGGCACGCCCAAAGGCCCGAGACGAACGGGTTCGGAGATTTCGTTAACTACGAGTATAACGACTAAGGGCGAGAAGTTACCACCTTTACCTCCTCAGGCCGTTCAGGTTATCCAGCATCAGCAACTCCAACATGCACAAAATCGTGCATCGACAGCGTCGAGTTACTCTTCGGATTCGCAGGCTACAGTGCGACACGCGGAGCCGCATGCGCAGAGTAATGTTGCTCTGCAGCTTACGTCGGATGACGAAGATGAGGAGGATTATGGTGAATTGCTGGGTTCGGAGCCGTACCCCCCTATGGCGCCGCAACATGATCGACACATGTCTGAGCTACCCGATACGGCGATGTTGGATTCCGTAGTTCTGCCTGCTATCGCTTCAGTCAGTTTCCCTTTTCCTTATTGATGATTTATTTCCTCGATGCTATTCTAATTAACTCATTGATTATTGATTAATTTAGTTATTCCCACGCGTATCGACTCAAGAAGCCCGAATAGCACTTTCAGCACTCCAAAGGGCTTTCACGGAGGCTGAACGGATCATACCCGGTGTGACGAACGAGTTGGTGAATGAGATTGTAGATTCGGTGGAACATGTTGAGGAAGTACCAAATTAAATGGTCGGCATTTGGGACGGCATGAGGTTGCGCAGACACGGACAGATTCTTCCCTTTTCTTTTAAATCTTTGCACACACGCTTTCGTGGTGAGGGTCGGGTGATGATGGGTGCTTGGTGCTTGGCGGTGGATGGATGTGCAAATCGCAATCATTTGTTCATAGTGTAAATAACATACAGTGACATACATCTTGCATTTTTATTTTTGTTTGGTGTGTATATGTGTGAGGAGGTAGTAGCTTGTTTCTTTTCTTCATTGATGTCGCCGTTGTCACCTTGCTTTGCTGTACGGACAATGCATTTCTTACGTGTAACTTCTTTGAACCCCAAAACTTAGTATAAATATTTAATGCAAAGTAGCTTGTGCTGTGCAAAGTACGGCATCACTTTTGCCGCTTTGCTTTGTTGTACGGACATTGCATGTATTTCTTACGTGTACTTCCTTCAACCCCAAAATTTAGTGTAAGTGTTTAATGCAGTAGCTGATACTGTGCAAAGTACGTCCTTAATTGGGGAGGAGAGAGGATAAATTGGCATGCGCAATGAAAGTGTAAAGGTACGTTCTCAAGGCTTTATAATGAGGCGTTTATGTCTTCATCCTCCCCAACCCCCAATAGTTTAACTAACATCAACCAATCAACAACCAATTTCAGCCACAAGTATGTCGAGTAGTGGCCGCAACGGTAATAGCCGCCAATCTTCTTCTTCTCAGAACAGCCAGGGCTATGGAACTATTCAAAACCCAAAACGCACATCCACAGAAGATGACAGTTCCAAGGCATTTAAGAATAAAATTATAACTGCCATTATTGATGGCCTACAACTAGCTGGTAAATATAGCATAGAGAGCTTCGGGAAAGCAGTGGAGGAAATGAAAAATGATCGGAAGAGCATCACAGAGACGAAGGCCCTGAAGTCACTAGATGCCATGATCAATTTCTGCACTAATCTATTGAGCGAGGACCGTAATGATAGGGCAAAAGCCACAAGGATATATACCCAACTGGACCGAAAGAAAAGTGTACAACACTTTAGAGATTTGGCCGAGGAAACCAAAAGGATTTTAGACTCTACGGGAAAGCGGCAATTTGAAATGGGTGCAGTTTTCGCGCGCACCGAAGAAGTACGGAGCGGAAATATTGACCTTAGTCTACTCCTCTCGAAAGCTAGAAACAATATTGATTTGGCTCTGACATCGTAAGAATGATGAATGCGCAGAAATAACGTAGAGAAATGTATGCCCAATAATGTAGGTGCATTAGTATGCATTGACATTCGATATAAATAATAGTGGGATGTAAAAGTGCATTTCCACGCGCAAGGCATTAAGTAATGTAGTTATTCCCACGTGTATCGACTCGAGGAGCCCGAATAACACTCTCTGCACTCCAAATGGCATTCACAGAGACTCAGCGGATCATACCCAGTGTGACGAACGAGTTAGTGAACAAGAGATTGTAGACTCGGCGGAATATGTTGAGGAAGTACAAAATTAAATGGTTGACATTTGAACTTGGACATGACATTACACAGACAGATTCTTTGCTTTTTACACAAACCTTTGTGAGGGGTGTTGGGTTGGTTCTGTGATTCGATAGTAGGTTGGTGGATATGCAAATCTCAATCATTTGTCCACAGTATAAATAACATACAGTGACATATATCTTGCATTTTTTTTTTGTTTGGTGTGTGTATGCATGTGTGCTCTTATGTAATGTAACAAATGTGCATAGAAAGTGTCTTTATAAAGTAGAAAAGATTGTTCATGCCATTTGAAGTACACGAGTAGGGTTTACCCTTATTTATGGGTAGACAACTCAATTGTGTAATACAAGTATTTTGCTGATGCTATCATTTTGCTTTACTGTATGGACAATGCATTTCTTACATATACTTCGTTCAATCCCGAAATATGGTATTAAATATACTAATACAAAGTAGCATATACTCTGCAGAGTACATTCTTATTAGGGAAGAGGGGAGGGTGTTACGGTTCTCTGCTCTTGTACCTTCAGTTCCAAGGGTTCTGCACCCTTCTGTACCAGAACTCGGGACTTCTGTCCCTCAGGGGCACTGTCTATGAACTATATGCATGCTGACTCTTGCTACTACCCTTCCTTACTTCATCATTCCATTCCTTTGACCACCCCTTCATTCTTTGTATCATTCTATGGTCTCTTACCCTTT